AGTAATAATAATAATAATAATAATAATAATAATAATAATAATGATAATAGTGATAATAATAGTAATAATAGTAATGATAATAATAATAATAACAATGATAGTAACAATATTGTTAATAACAATAGTGATAATAAAAATGATGATGATAATCATAATAATAATAATAACAATAACAATAACAATGATAATAACAATAATAGTGATAATAATAATCATAATAATAATAATAATAATGATAATAATAATAATAATAATAGTAATAATAATGATAATAATAATAACAATAATGATAATGATGATAGTGATTATGATAATAACAATAACAATATTAATGAAATAACAATAGTAATAAAACAACAATAATAATAATGATAGTAATAATAATTATCAAGATAGTATTCATTATTAGTATTATTATCATTATCATCATATTTATATAAAACTTTCGAAATCGAATGTAGTTTCAATTTTCCATTAATCTATTTTATACACTGTGATTTGCTATTGCTTATTATGATTAGAAGTGTGATAATCAGTATGATAAAAATGTGATATTATTATCCTTAATAAAAACAATATCACTAATGATAATAAAAATTAAAGATTAATTATAAAGGAAATTACATTAATATTATTGTAACTAAAATGATACTAGCGCAAAAAAATGGAGAAAACGAAGAAAAAAAAAGCAACATCATGGTAAATGCCGAATATTTTACATATTTACATGTAATTATCGCTGACTCCACATGCACATTCGAGCTTCCACCAAGTATCCTATTTGCCGCGCAATCTCCGTAAATCTTATTCACAAATTAATATTCTAAAGTAACGATTGATAGATTGGTTATATTTTCCTTTTGGTTTAAGAGGTTAATCAATTCTTGCAGAGCCTGGAACGAGCGGGAATTTAGCGACAAAGCGCTATGCCTGTTCTATGTCAGTTATATGTCACGCTGAATTTATCTATCGTTACCGTTATCGTTACTTCATCTTTGTTTTTGTTAATTTCACTGTGTTGATAATTAAAGACGATCAACTTGATCAACTACAAAATTAAAAACATTTAAGATGAAGTGAGCGTAGAATTAGCAGGAAGTCGCAAAGCGTGTTTTTCTACTACGTATAGTGCCCCATTTGTTTCTCATATTTTACTTTATCTTCGCACTTAACTGTTTCGCAATATCCTTGAAAAAAATGTTCAGAACAAGTTAAAATAAACCCATAAAACGTACATCGAGAGCTTTATCCAAAGTCGCAATACCAATACTGCATATACACCTCATATACTATACTATACTATATTATACTATATACTATACTATATTATCGTCCTTAAACCATTCATTAGCATCTCGAAACAACAGCTTTTCCTTCTATATCTAAAGAAGCCACAAAACCGAACCAACAGAGCGAAAAACGAGCGGTAAATTAGCGCTAAGTTGCTAGGTCCGATCTCCGCTCACAGTCTCCGCGCCGAATTTTTATTGCACCGTAAACGTCCTTTTCTACGGTCTCAAACGCTGGCTAAAATCAACATTGCAAACGGGTGAACGGTGTGCAAGATCACGGGCCTTGGCGTAAGAGCTTTGTTGACAATTATTGCAGCGCTGTTATTTGACCCCAATTAGAAAAGTGCAACAATGATTTCTCAGTTTAAAACGCGAATATTACGAAGATTTTATTTTTCATTTCACAATTAATTGATCTATTCTTTAAGATCAGTACAATAAGAAATGAAAAAAAAAAGTTTAAGTATAAGGGAAGAACTGCAACCATGAATGTAGCTTTAATTACAGTGTTAATTATGGATTATATGTTATTAAAAGAGAAAAAAAAGAAAAAAAAACGCTTAATTTCATTGCAAACTGTGTAACAGATATATGATAATAAAACAATAATAATGATATTAATAATAATAATAATAATAATAATAATAATAATTATAATCATGATAATAATCATAATCATAATAATAATAATAATAATAATAATGATAACAATGATAATGATGTTAGAATAATAATGATAATAATGATAATAATGATGATGATGATAACGATAATAATCATAATAACGATGATATCAGTAATAGTGATAATAATGCTAATCATAACATTAATAATAATGATAATAATAATAATGATAATAATAACGATAACGATAATGATAATAATAATAATAATAATAATAATAATAATGATAATAATAATAATAATAATAATAATAATAATAATAATAATAATAATAATAATAATAATAATAATAATAATAACGGAAATAACGATAATAATGATAAAAATAACAATAATAATAATGATAACAATGACAATAATATTGACAATTATGATGATGATTGTAAAAATAGAAATGAGTGATAATCATGGTAATGGTTATTATGCCTATTTCATCATTGTTATTATCATTAAAATCATCACCATTAGTACAGGTCATCATGATTATCATTATCATGACTATTATATTTAGAGTAGTAGTTGTAGCATTATTATCAATATTACTGTTGTCATTTTTACTATTATTATCATTACTATTATTACTATTATTATCATTATCATTATAATCATCATAATTGTTATTATTACCATTATTTTACTAATGATTGTGATACATACACGCGCACATGCACACGCACACGCACACGCATACGCACACGCACACGTACACGCACACGCACTCACACACACACACACACACACACATATACATATATATATATATATATATATATATATATATATATATATATATATATATACATATATATATATACATATGCATACACATATACATATACATATACATATACATACACACGCACACGCACTCTCTCTCTCACACACACACACACACACACACACACACACACACACACCAACACACCCACAGATGTGTGTGTATATATATATATATATATACATATATATATATATATATATATATATATATATATATATATATATATATATATATATATATATATATATATGTGTGTGTGTGTGTGTGTGTGTGTGTGTGTGTGTGTGTGTGTGTTTATAAGGAACGACATAGACCGATAAGGTTTGGCACCGGCGGCGCCGCACGAGTTGCCAGACCGAGTTCGCAAGCGACAACGAACTGCCTCGGGGACTCCGGCTCCCGAAGCTTTTGAATTGCAGTGGAATATTTGATAGGGTGGACTCCCATATCCTTTGACCATGCAGCAGAAGGGCACCATTATCGTATCCACGCAAGACTAAACCAATATTTGCAAGTCCATGCGTGTGTGCATGTTTGTGAATTTATACACACACAAGCACGCGCGCACGCATGTAAGCATGTGTATGATATTTCCTTTATTTATACTCTTCATCTTCTTTATATTTTTTTTCCATATGCGAATTTTGGTTTTTAATGTTTTGCGATATATAATACATAATTTCAAAAGCTGTAAATCACGCATTCAAGATGAGATAATAACGATATTAATATCAATAAGCGAAAAGATACCATGGAATTTGGATAAATGGATATATAGATAGATTGATTGATAGACAAAACAGATAGAAAGGTCGACATTATCAATAAAGCCGTTATAATTTGGTACAATAAATATTAATTTGATACTGAACCCAAAAAGTGGATATGATAATGATTATAATGGAATAAACAAACAGAGAAGAAAGATAGGAAGGTAGAGTCAATTCATAATATATGAACATATATAATGAATACAGTGTTAGAGGCTGAGAGATCAAGAGACAAAGATATAACAACCTTAACCACAATGTGATTGCAGTATTATCATTCAAATCACAACTTGTGACACTATATATCATAATGATTACAATATCCGACACTATATATCATAATGATCACATTATGACACTATATATCATAATAACTGTAGTACCTGACCTCCACCAGGAACATATAACCCACAATATAACGCTATATCCCTCACTCTCTCGGTAACGCCGGGCCAAAAGCTACGGCACAAAACAAACCTTTAAGTTTAGCGCAAATCATAATAACGGCATGAGCTTTTATTCCTCGTAACCGTTTTTATAGAGCGGTTTAATTTTTTTTTTCATTACTGAAATATCAACGATGATTATAATAGTAAAGGTGCAAAAATTACATCAGTGATAATGATAATGATGATAATGCTAATACTAATATTATTGATAATGAAAATCGTAATTATAATGGTAATGATAACTATGATAATTATGATAATGATAAAAATGATAATAGTAATAATAATAATAACAATAATAATAATAATAAATAACAATGATAATAATAATAATAATAATAATAATAATAATAATAATAATAACAATAATGATAATAATAATGATAATAATAATGATAATAATTATGATAATAATAATGATAATAACAATAATAATAATAATAATAACAATAATAATAATGATAATGATGATAATGATAATAATAATAATAATGTTAATAATGATAATGATAATGATAATAATAATCATATTAATTGTAACAATAATAATAAAAGGATCATGATGTTAATACTACTAATGGTAATAATAATAATAAATTATGATAATAATTATAATGCTAATAACGCTAATGATGATAATGATAGTAATAATGATAGTGATAATGATAATATAATAAGGATAATAATAATGATAATGATAACCATAATAATAGCATTAATAATAATAATAATAGTAATAATAATAATAATAATAATAATGGTAATAATAATAGTTATAATAATAATGATAATTATGATAATAATAGTATGATATTGATAATAGAAAGAATAATACGAAGATAAAGAAGACTTAATGCGGGCAGCGATAACAGTGACGATAAAAACAAAGAGTGAAATGAGGAATGAAAACAACAACGAACTAGAAACAACAACGACAAGTGAATAAAGAGGATAAGAGAGATAGATAAGAAATAGATAAGAGATAATATAAACGTCGGGCTTCCTCTGGGCCGACTCTCCTCACCGGTGTCACTCTGCTGCGGCTCCGAGGGCGAGGAAGTCGACACTCCGACGTCCCCCTCGGTCGAGTGCGAGCTCCCGCCATCGTCGACGACCACGTCCTCCTCGTCGTCGTCGTCCTCCACCTCATCCTCGACGCCGGGGTCACACTCGCGCATCTCCTCGTCGTCTAGGTCGCCCTCCTCCCCTTCGACCTCCTCCTCGACGCCGTCTCTCGAACTGGTGATGTCCCCCTCGACACGCGGCGGCTGGAGCAGGCGCTTGGAAGGAGGAGGAGGAGGCTCGGAGCTCGCCCTCAAGCTCGCGAAGTAGAGCGAGGCCGGGGTCAGGTCCGAGGGCTGGGGCGAGGTCGTCCTCCGGCAGAGTTCGGGGAGCTTCGTCGGTCGCCCTTGAGGATCGTGTCTGAGGCTCGGGAGGAGGACGGGGAGAGGCGGCGGGCCTTGAGGGAGAGTGACCTGGGGTGCAGGTGGAGGGGGAGGGGGGAGGAAGGTGGTGGTGGTCGTGGGAGAGGGGGGGAGAGGGGACAGGACCTGGGAGGAGACGACCTGGTGTGGGGCGTGGGACTCGGGTCGTCTGCAGGACAAGAGGGACTCGATGGAGAAGGAGTCGTTTTGGAGGGTAAGTCGGGGGGGCGAGGAGGACATCTCGGCCTCCTTCGCTTCTCGTTTTCGCCAAATAAAAAAATCCGCAGAAGGATCAGTCAAGTTCAGTCAATCAATCAGTCCAATGGCGATTTGTTAACTTTCCATTATTTCTTTTCCTTTCTCTCTCTTTCTCTTTCTATATCTCTTTTTTTTCCTTTTCCCTTTTTTTCTATTCTTTTCCTCCCTTCTATTATCCCTTCTTATCACTTATATATTCCTTTCCTTCCCTTTTTCCCTTCGCTTTCGTCTATATTCCTCTTTCTTATCCGAATTTAGGCATGAAGCTTCTTTCCTTATCGGCAGCTCGGCATGCGATGAACCCGGACACCGATGGGGCTGATAAGGCAGGTCACATTACCGTCCGATCCAGGTCAAGACGGTAGCCGCGAGAGGTCAAAGGTGAAAGGTCGTCGGGTCACTTTATCCGGAGTTTGGTCTCGTTGTTAATTCACTTCCGAGGTGGTTAGATTTTTCGTCGTATCTAGTTTCGTTTCGTTTTGGTTTTCCTTATTCATTAAAAAAAATCATCGGAGAATAATCAGATGGTAGTCATAATGATGATTAAATCAATCAATTATGCTTTCTTTCTTTTTTTTTTTAAATTCTCAAACGGTTAGGAATCACACAGATATTTTTCCCGCCACTTTTTTCGTGTTTCAGATTTTTCTTCTTTTTTAAAAATTCAAATAATTGGTACGAAGTTAACGGACGATTTCAAGCGATG